ATATGTTAAGCAACACACGGACAGTTCTGACTGGTTTCCCACACATACTTGGAACTGTGACCTCACAAGGCCGTGTTTACAGTGGTGTTGTCCCTGCCTGGGTCAGCATCTTCTCAGAGAGTGAGGTGAATTAAAGGAAAAGCTTCAGTGAGAAGAACAATTCTGGTATTTCCCACCTTGAGAGTTTGGCTCCTTGTCCAGCAAGCAGTGCTATGGGTTTGGAAACTTACACATCATTGCCAGCAGGCACTCAGGTGACTCTGAAAGCATCGCCAAACCAACTCAGATGGAATCCAGTGTCAGATTTTTCAAATGACTTTTTTTTTGTTTTTGTTTTTGTTTGTTTTTTTTGGGGGGGGTGTTGAGACAGGGTTTCTCTGTATTGTTTTGGAAGCTGTCCTGGAACTTGCTCTGTAGACCAGGGTGGCCTGGAACTCACAGAGATCTGCCTGCCTCTGCCTCCCGAGTGCTGGGATTAAAAGCGTGCGCCACCAACGCCCAGCTCAAATGATGTTTTTAAGGTTTATTTTGTACCTACATTAGGGCACTTATGCCAAGGTGTTTGTGTGGAAGTCATAGGACAGAGTTTCAGGGGGCCACAATGAGGGTCCCAGAAATTGAATTTGGGTTGTCAGGCTTGGCAGAAAGCACCTTCACCCACTGAGCCATCTCACCAGTCCTAGTTTAGAGGATCTTAAATGTGACAACACTAGGAAAGTAAATCTTAGAAGATTTACAGTTAAAGGGGGCATTGGATCAGTTGACGCCATCTTTTCAAGGAGAGCCTGGGGGAGGTAGAGTTCTACCTCCATGAGCCAGTGGGGCTTAGACAGCTGAGGACTCTGCCAGCTTGAACCAGAGCCAAGCAGATTCCTAGTAAAAATGACTGGGTCTAGTTTCTGCTTTTTAATTTACTGTGTAAATATTTATGCTCAACACTTAACAAAAAGCAGAGAACTATATTGCATAAATACTTAAAGCTCAGCTTGCTGACCGCTGAGCAGTCTAGAAACACCCAAGAGGTTTGAAGGCAGAGTGATCCACAAACAGCTCTGTATTCCAGGTACAGGTGAAGCTTAAATTGGTGATCTGGATGAAGCCCCCTGGTGAGGTCTCCTCCAGCAAGGTTAACTACAGCAGTGGTTCTCAACCTTTCACATATCAGATATTTGCATCCTGATTCTTAACAGTAGCAAGGTTAGAGTTAAGTAGCAACAAAATAATTTTATGGTTGGGGGTCACCACAACATAAGGAATTGCACTGTGTTAAAGTGTCGCAGCATTAGGATGATTGAGAAGGACTGAACTACAAGGAAGTAATCATCAGGAAGTCATGCTAAGTGAAGCAGGTCATGTCTGAGTTCTTGCTCTAGCCACCAAGTATGGGGCCTGGCTTCAGTGTACCTCTTCAGAGTTCAGTCCATGCAGCTGTGCAGAACACATGATACAGGTAGTACCCTACACAGGAGATGGAAGTGGCCTATACAGGAAACTGGTTGAACTTGCCAGGAAAGGACTGCAGAGCCAACTGCTGACAGTCCCCAAAAAGTGGAAAGAAGCTGTTGGGTAATGTTCTCAGCCATCACTGATTTGAACCAGTATGGCAAAGAAGCACTGTGTTGATATCAAATTAGATTGGTGGGGAAAGCTGACATCACCTCTAATTGCACGTGTTTTACACTGTCACCATTCAGAAGCAGTGCCTGTCCCAGTGCTTCTATTGTAGTCATGTGACTGACTTCCTTAATTACAGTGATTTCTTACCCCCTCTGCATAATCCACCTGTCTATCCTCAGCTCAGGTACTTCTCTGGAATTCATACCTGTCTTGTATCCTATCAAAGTACTCCCATAATTCACACCATACTTTTGTGTCTACCACACCCATGTATACATATGTGTGCATATGTGTGGAGACAAGAGGAGAGCCTCAGCTACCATTCCTTAGGTACTATCCTTGTTTGTTTTGTTTTAAATTATTTAAAAATTTTTATGTGTGTATGTGTTTTTTCTCCTGTCGTGTATGTCTGCACCACTAGCATGGTTGGTGCCCAAGGAGGCCAGAGGGTGATGGATCACCTAGAATGGGAATTACAGATGGTTGAGTGTTGTGGAATAGAATATTTGTTTACCTGTGAAGATGTGTTGCATTTGTTTGTGTTGCAGAGTATGTGTTTAACTATGTAAAGATGTGTTGCTGTTTTACCTTGCCTGCCTAAGGCACCTGATTGATTTATTAATCAATTGGCTGAATGGCCAATAGCTAAGCAGAGGAGAGATAGGCAGGGCTGGCAGGCAGAGAGAGAAAAGGGGATCCAATCAGCCCAGGACCAGCCAGCCCAGGACCAGCCAGCCAGACACAGAGGAAGCAGGGAAGCAGGATGGACAGTACATAGATGAGTAAGTGAGCCTCAGGGTAGCACATAGACTAACAAACAGGTTAACTTAAGTTTTAAAAAAAGCTAGCTAGAAACAAGTCTAAGCTAAGGTTGAGCATTCATAATAAGTCTCCTTTGTCATGATTTGGGGTCTGTCGGTTCAAGAAAGCCTGCTACAGTTAAGCCACCATGTCACGTGGGTGCTGGAAATGGAGCTCAGAGCAAGTGCTCTTTGACTGCTGAGCCATCTCTCCAGTTCCACTTTGTGTTTTGAGATAGTCTGTCAGTGACCTGGAGCTCAGTGTGTAGGCTAGGCTGTCAGGCTAGTGAGTCTCTCCAGCACAGGGATGCAAGCTCTGCCCAGAATCTGTTGATGAGAAATTCCCAGCCCTCAGAGATAAAGGAAGAACTTTAATTAGCATATAGCTATAGCCTCTGGCTATTTCAATAGGTTCAGTCTTGATCAGAAATAGTTTGTGACTTATGCAGGGTTAGGCATTGTCACTATTTTGTGACTGTCTTAGGGAGGTCTTTTTATCCCCATCCCAAAGAGATTTTTCCTAGAGCTAAGCAGGTTTTACAGAAACTAAAATTTTCAAGTTTCTAAGTAAGACATTTGACCTTTAGCAAACAGACCTTGCTGTCTAAGTCATATTGGTGGCAGTCACTTCTCAAGGGAGAAGAATACATGTGGCCCTCTTCAGAAATGAAGGGTCAAGCAGGCTCACAGAGCAGAAGTCAGCATTCAGTGTTAGCGCTGCTGTCTCAGATCAGTGTCCCATTCCATTTTCTTATTCTCATATAGCATGATATTTCCTAAGTAAGCTTGGTTATCACAATGTTAAAACTTACCTGCGTTCCTTTTCTCCTTCAAGCTCAGCTGTGTCAAAACAGGTTTCATGGAGGAGGCAACTCTGGCCAGGTCTTCACCAACTTAGTGCTGCATACTCAGTGTTATACTTAACACTGTAGTCTCATGGTGAACATGAGAACAGTAGAGACTGACATGGCAGCAGGCAACTGGAATACCAGGACATAGCTGAACAGCCCAGCCCTTGAAGAGCAGGGAGGAAACACGGGATAGGTCTTCCAAGAGCTGGCTGTTAACTAGAAAGACGAGGACTCTCTGCTAGTTCTTTTGTTTTGTTTTGGTTTTTGAGACTGAGTTTCTCACTCCATAGCTAAGGATGGCCTGGATTTCATTATGTAGCTCAGGGTGGCTTCAAACTCAGCCTCCTGAGTGACAGAATCACAAGAATAAGCCACTATGCTCAGCTTTTTATTGGGTCTTAATAGTTCCCTTGTTGGGTCCTGCTTGCTCCCAAAATGACCCCTAGGAAGTATACTTCAATACCATAGCTTGCCTCTCTCAAAGTCCAACCTACAGGGTTGGAGAGATGGCTCAGCGGTAAAGAGCTCTGGCTCCTCTTCCAGAGATCGAGTTCAATTCCCAGCAATCACATTGGTGGCTCACAACCATCTACAATGAGATCTGGTGCTCTCTTCTGGTCTGCAGGCATACAGGCACTGTATACATAATAAATAAATCTTTAAAAAATTCAACCTACAGTCACCCCCACCCCACCTACTGAGCCCCATTCACTAGTCTTAGGAGCAGTTGGACAGAATACTTAAAGGTGGTACAGGCATTAAATTCCAGCACTCAGGAAGTCAAGGCAGACAGGTCTCTGTGAGTTTAGAGATCTAGTGTACATAGTGAATTCCAGGCCATCAAGGGCTACACAGTGAGATCCTGTCTCAAGAAAAAAAATTAAAAAATCATGGCACAAGGAAGGTCATGAAGGACATTCCAGATCAGATGTGACTGCTCTCAGTCACATTGCTGAAGGACGTTCATCATCCTTGATGCTCAGCTTGCTTAGAGCTATCCTGGAGTCCAGGTCAGTTTTTCATGGGTTTATCTTGTTTCCCAGACAAGGTGTCACTTCAAAGAACAGGCTGGTCTTGAACTTTGATCCTCCTGCATCAGCCTCCAAGTGCTGAGATTACAAGTGTGAGCCACCATACCTAGCTGAACATTATGTGGACTGTTAATCTTAACCGTATATGGAGTGTTACATATCTCCAGTTTTCTTGCCTTTTACAAAAAACGAATCCATGAGGTAGTCAACTGGCTCGGTTGGTAAAACGCTTGCCATATAAGCATGGGTACATTAGTTTGAGCAATAGGGTCCATGTAGAAGAAGCTGGGGGAACAGGGTGTACTTCGGATCCTAGCACTGGGGTGACAGGTGGATTCTTGGGGGCTTGCTGCCCAGCCAGTTTAGCTGAATTGGTGAGTGCTAGACCCATAAAAGAACCTATCTAAGAAAAACTAAGTAGAGGCTGACCTCTAGCCTCCACGCATGTGGACAAATAACAAATATGTACATGTTCTCTTCTTTTTCTCTCTCACACACACAACACACACATAAAACCATTTTTAAATGAAACCATAACTTCACTGTGGAAATGGTGCTTTATAATTTGAAACTCCACCTTTCCTTTGAGATCTGGGAGTCCACAAAACTAAAACTGATGACCAGTGGTCAGCCAGGGACACTGTGGCAATGGGGAAGTGGCCCCTCACCAGCGACCAGAGACCACACCTGTCTTCCAGTTGTTGGCAGTGTCAAAAGAATTTATTTCAAATCTGTTTAAGAATGTGGTAAAACTCAAGCTTTCCAAAAAGTAATACAGGAAGTTCAACCAACCCCCTAAAGACCAGAAAACACAGTGTTTGCAATTCAAAAAATACAAACGCTTGTGGATACCTATACAAAAATTAGAAAAAATTACTTTCCTTACCACTGCCCACCGCTCTGTGTTTTCAGCGAAACATCAACAACCACAGGACCAAGAGCTGCCACCAAATACCAACCACTGGGGACAGAATCGATGTGGTAGGGAGGGTGGGGGAGAGAAGGCAAGGCAAGGCAGGAAAACGGGGCCAAAACAACAGGACACAGCTTTCTGTTTCTGTTAAATTCCTTTGCCAACATTGTACAAACACCTTTCATGCTCAGTGTGCCGTGTAGTGCAAAGGCGGCGATTCTAAATCATGCATTCATGTTTTCTGTTGTGTCTACACCCCACTCTCCGCTGGTGCTGAGAACATGGGGGGGCTCAGGAAGTCCAGTCTCTGGGGGATTGGAGTTGAAAGGCCACTACGGGCCAATCAAGGAGCTCCAGCAGTCATACCAAGGCCTGTATAGCATCTGCTAAGAACCATGCACAGAGGCTTAGTGCCCAGTGCCAGCCACACCGCTAACCCTCAAACTCTGGGCTCTTTCCCAGGGCTGGGTTGACGGCTGGGTCCTCAGTGTGCTGCACCACTCAAGGGAATCACCTCACTTAGAGTCAAGTCCCAGCTCCTTCCACTGAATTCAGCACTGGTCATGGAAAACGCCAGGCTCCCGCCCTCCATAGCTCGTGCCAGAAGTCCCAGCAGCAATCAGTTGCCTGAAACTGACTTGTCACTAGCCACGCCCTTGAGGTCCAGTTCAGCTGTATGTCGTAACACTCTCAGGTGTCCAAAGCCACCCCCACTGTTGGGGAAACAAAAGTGAAAGGCCATGGGTAGGGGGATTCCTTAAAGACCAGAACTGAAGGAACAGGAGGCAGAAGGCTGAATAATATCTTTTCTTGGCTTAGCGGACACCACATATAGATGCTTTTAGCATTCAAGAGATGGTTACTGACAGGTTTGACCTGTTTAAAGCCCTGTAACGTGGCATTAACCCAGGCTCCCCATTAATGGGATGTGCTTGCTGTCATGTGAACTATCTGAAATGCCAGGCAGCTATGGGAAAAATATTTGCCTGATCACAGGAAGCCTGGGTGGAAGACATTGTGGTTAGAGACATGGTAAAGTCTCCCAGGTTTGAGCCACTGAATGTGAGCCATTTAGCCTGGACCTTACCAATGAGACTATTCCATGATCCACACAATACGGAGAGGAGGTAGGTTGGTATGGCCAGTTCTGTTTTCAGGTGGAGATACTGAGGCACAAAACATAGGATATCTACCCCATGCATGCCATGAGCCAATATCAAAGTCAATTTAGGAGGTAAGTGCTGAGAGACACTCTGCTGTCATGTCTCTGCCTCAAGACTCCTCTTTAGCTTAATTCACCTCTTCACCTTTTACCTCAGCTGTCAGGACTCCCTCAGTCAGGAGTCAATACCAGGCTGTCCATGACAACTGACTGTTCCTGGGGTAACAGAATTCCCAGGACCAGTGTGGACTTTGAACATCTTCTAACAATATATGATGAGATTTCTTTAACACCTCGAGAGCCCCAAATCCATTAAGATGTCCCTGCTCCTTCAGGAAAGTGTGGCCAAGAAAAATGAAGGGAAGGAGCTTTTCTTCCCAAGAATGGAGGTGGTGTTGGCTTCCATCTTCAGTGAGCAGAAATGTGAGCTCCTTTTTCCTCACATGCTCCACTGAAGACCTGTGAATAATTCTTACACTGGGGTAACATGAGATCAGTGGCTTTGGGACAGACCTCCTATGTGACACAGGAATGTGTGCCAATACCGTGAATGTCAACAACCCAACAAACCAATATGACCCAGATCCAGGTCTGCCACAAGGGAGCATCTGGATATCTCTAGGTATTTGGGATTGTCACACTTATTGGGGGTGCTCTTGGCATCTTGAGGACAGAGATGAGGGGTGCTTAATGCTTTACAGCACTCAGTCCCCACCCCAAATGTCAGCATTAAGCACCCCTGGGGTGACTCCCACAGTCCTGTGATGGTGTTCTTCACACTCCCAGATTCCCCCCAGATGATTTTATCCACTCTTTGCCTCTCTGCAATGAGAGGCTATAGGGCTTGGAGGTAGCCTCATGAAGGGCAAACCCAGACCACCTGCACTGAATCATATCTCCAAGCCTTTCAATGGAGTTAAGGCCGACATGTTGACCCAGGTAAATTCACATGGACACTGCACTCTAGCCCTGACCTAAGAGGGCCAGATAAGGGGTAGGGCAACAGGAGCAAGAGGAAGGACTCAGTAAAGTGGGCATTCCCCATCTCTTGCAGAGCTTGCCCATGTTTCAGCGCTCATCCTGGTAGCATATTGCTTCCTGGCTCTGAACTCCCTGGGGCTACAGGGCAGCTAAGGACATTTGTGGAATCACAGAGCAAACAAAGGGCTGAAGGTGCCGCCTGGACCACACGCAGTGTGAGAGTGCCAAGGCCAGGCAGTTGCCCTCTAACACTGAGACCTGCCTCCAGACAGGACAGAGGGGGAAAAGCCTGGGTTGTGGGTACTGCTGTCCAGCTGGGAGGGAGGAGGCGCTGTGTATAGAGTAGGTGCCAGTGGGTACTCGTCAAGGACATTCATTTCAAAGGGATTGGCATTCACTGACCCACACAGACAGCAGGCTTAGAGTTGAATTTCTTTCTTACAGACTTACCCCAAGTTCCTTCTCGGTGGCCCACCAGGAAAGGCCTCACCTTGATGTTTATACACAGCAGTGTCACCTCAGTGCCAGCTGCTAAGGACTCAGTGTGCTAAGACGCCATGATCTGTCTGTAGCTCTCATTTCCTGGGCCTTGCACTGTGAGGAGTTAAGTTCCTTCACTTTTCTGATTGCCTCAGACAGCCAAGAGTGCAGAACTGCCTTACCCTTCTCTTATCCATGCAACCTTGTCCCTGAAAGGTGCCCTGTGCAGAAGGCAAGGGAAATGGCTGTGCAGGGCTGCCTGCTTGTCCCTGGCATCAGCGTATTGCTTCTGGGTTCTAGTGAGCAAAGGGAGACATTTAGCTCCCCCCACCCGTGCTGCTGTGGGATCTGGGAAGGGGGTCTTCCTTGTTCAACTCCAGGGAACCTCCTTAAAGAGGTCACCTGGGTTGGGTGTGATGCTCACCTCTGTAATCTCAGTACTCAGGAGGCTGAGGCAGGAGGATTGCTGTGATTCAAGGCCAGCCTGAGCTATATAGTGAATTCCAGGCCAGCCTGGGCTACAGTGTGAGACCATGTCTCAAACAAACTAAAGAAGGGGGAGGGAGAGTAAGAGGAGGAGGAGGAAAAAGAGAGGAGGAAAGTGACCTCCTAGAGCTCTGGGGGCTCTGTGGTCGATCACTTTCCTAGCATGTGCAAGGCCATGGGTTGGATTCTCCAGCACCAGAAAAAAAAAAGTCACCTGTAATTGTGGTCATTTCCTTATCTCCCCAAACAAAGTCAGCCACAGGTCCAGGTCTGCCCAAGTGACTCCTGCTCCTCGGGCAGGTGCTCGACCCAGGCTTTGAAGACTGTGTGGCTACCTCTGGCCAGTCTTTCTGCTTGTTCTTACTCCAGGGTTTCTGGACACTTCCACGAGAGAGTCAGACACCTGGACCACCACCACTCCTGACCATGGCCACGTGATTTCCTGGGTTCAGGAAGGCAGAGGCTCATCCACATTCTTGATGTTGAAGCACCCATCCCTCCGTCTGCTGGGGTCTTCCAGAGCTGTGGCTGTGGGACATCAGGACCTGCTGAGCAACTGAGGACGTGGTATCCAGGGTCTTGTGGACTGCCCTGAGGACTCTGGACAGAGTTAAGAGCCACTGAGCCAGAGACCACTTAGCAGGAAGAGAGTCTAAGGAAGCCAAAGCTACACCTCTACAATGAAGGTGGCTCAAGAGCCCAGTGTGGAGGCTGGACTTTGCTGAACTGCTCCTGGTGGCATTGGGGTGTCTGAGGAAACAGGGCCACAAGCAAGAACTCTGAGGTAGGACTGGCGGGTCTGTGCAGCCCAGTGGTGGGTACTTGGGAACCGAGGGCCTTTGGACAAAGCAGGTGAGGAAGCACAGTTGGGGCTGGTGGATCGGATTAAAAACGAAAACAAAACCAGCCCGGCTGACAGGCAAGTCATTCCTCGGTGTAAAATGAAACACCTGATGAAGCGAATTCTTCCCAAAGGAGAGAGCGAGGTTACTGCCAGGCAGAGCTGGAGACTGTGGGAGACAGGAAGTGATGGCACAGGACCTGAAGGCGGGATGACTCCGTGTGAGCCTCACCAGTAAGAGCAGCGCTCACTCCTCAGAAGGAGACCTCCCTGCACTCTGGGACTCCTGGCTCATGTGGGAAGAGAAGCTGTAGGGCGTGGTCATCTAGCTTTAGCCTTTCTCCAGGGTCTCATCTGTCCCATCATGACAGAGCCATCCACGTTGCCATTAGGGCCACTTCTCATGTCCATGATGCTTCCAGCAGGGCACAGGGTGAAGCTATAGGGGCCTTGCTTTGATGAAAGGCCTTTCTGGGGTCTACTGCTTCTGTGCTCAAGGCCCAGCCCAGGGAGGCAGTGTAGATATATTTCCATCAATTTCTGGAGAAGCGAATTCTAGAAAAAGCTACCACATCACTGTCTTGGATTCCAATGTTTCCGTTTGTAACTAAGAACAGAATGAATAAAATTTAACTGATTGTTATACACACCGTGTGTGTGTGTGTGTGTGTGTGTGTGTGTGTGTGTGTGTTGATAGCACATGGTTAATAATATAGCCTTAAGGAAGTCCTTCTGAAGGGTTCTAGTTATTCATTAATGATTAATGTTCCTTCCATTAGTCCTGAATTAGCTTACAGTGTATTGAAGACTCCAAATCCCAAAGGCTCACGGTCAGTTTCTCCCAGCAGAGGTGACAAGCTGCCAGCCTGGGACTCCAGAAGGAGCAGAATCCTAGCAACAGGTTACATGCAGACATGGAGTAGCATCACAGTGCTGACTCATCTTGGGATACTGGTTTAAAAGTTAGCCTTCCTCTCTCCTTTGGAAATATAAGGGGAAATCAAGCTTTTCAAAAGATGTCAGAAAACACAAGCCTGAAACCAAAGGCTTCCTTCCGGAGCACTGTCTTGAGGGCACCCTGGGGACCATAAGCTCTGTGGCATAGAGATGAAAGGACATTCTTGACATAGGCAGCCACAGTATGGCCATGTGGCTCACAGCTCATTCATTCTCCATTCCCCACAAAAAACCATCTTCAGATGTTCATTGACTGCTGGGACCCAGGACTTCCTGTTGGCCCTTGTCCTTTGTGAGGGCCTCCATCACAGCCAACTAGGCAGCAGGAGCCACCAGGCTAGTTGCCTGATGGCTTCGGCCGTCCTAGGGTTGTTGGCACCTCCAGTCCTGAGTGCAGGGTGACCTGGAAAAGAAGGTGAAATAAGCAGGGGTTGGCTCAGTGGTAGAGTGCTTACGGGGTGTGCACAAGGCCCTGGGTCCCATCCCTAACACAGGAGACAGGGAGAGGAGGAAGAGGCCGGAGGCAGAGGAAACGGACAGGAATGAAGGGCAGGAGAGGCTGTCCATTAACACCAAACCCATGGTATGGGCTCACGCTGTGTCCTGTCTCCCCTGGCGAGCTTATGCTGTGAGCTGTTACTCATTTGCCCGCTTCATATTGCTAAGGCCGTGTCACCTTGTGCATCTTTCCTCATCACAGGAGCTACGCTGATGACCAGCTGCGTTCCCTGTTTGGCTAGAGCCATCGAACCCCGCAGCAGAGGGGCTTTGGTTCTCACAGGTGACTCTTCGCATCTGCTGTCTCCTCTAGAAACTGACAGCTCACACTGTGCTCCTCAACTCCCCTTTTCAAGTAACCAATGCCAGACTGTAGTGGACCCAGTTGCCGGGCAGTAGACACCAGGTGGGTCCCTTGATGGCCCCAGGGATAGAAGGAATATGCTAAAAGTGAAGGATGCCCCTGTCCTCTGACCTCTCATTTGGCTGGTGTCAGGAGCTCCTGTGTCATCCCATTCCCCTGGAACACAGAGCCCCTGCTCCTCCCTGGAGCCCCACAGAGCCTGTCTGCTCCAAGTAATCAAGTAGTACTTAGGATCGCCTCCATGGCTTCTCAGAGAAACTGGCCAGCGGGCAGACTGCTGATCTGGTGAATGGGGTGGCCAGCTTCATCACAGTACACATTGTTCAGGGAGCAGGCAAGTTTCAGGGACTGGGCAGGCCAGCTGTGCCTCTGAGGATACCTGCACATTTCGGTTGAGGCTGACAGCAGGCATGAAGACCCCATCCACGTGACTGAAGGCCGTAGGGCCCTGCTGCTGCCCATTGATGAAGAAGGTCAGTGTGTGCTTGTTCAGGTCCAGCAGCACGCCCACAGTGGCCCCCTTGTATACACCGCCTTCAGTCCTGGGAAGACAACCAGGAAAACCTGTCACCACACCCAGATCACGATGTCACAGTAGCTGAGAATACCTCAAAGGGTGTTGGGAATACCCGCATACAAAATCAGCTTCCAGGGATGTGTGTCAGATACAAGAGAAGACAGCTCTGAGGGATCAAAGCTGCTCAGCTCCTTTTTATCCACAGTGTCGGAGATCTACACACAGAGAATGAGAGTTTGGCTGGCTGGATCCCTCCCAAAACCACGGGGCACCAAGCATGAGCACAGAGGAGAAGTGACAGGCCATCTTTCTGTCCTTAGTCCCATGGTGCTACTGAACTGGATGGAGACACCATGGGGAAGGGTCCAACAAATGGAAAGGGAAACAAGAACTGCATAGTCAATGCATTTCTAAACCTAAACACCAGGTGGCGGTAGTGACAAGTCTGACCTGCTGGCTTTCTACACAACCACCCCTAGGATCAAGGTCAGGTTTGGGAGCAGTGTGGAGCTGCTTCTGGGAGGAAGGTCACCTGCATTTGCCCCACACCTGAAACATGGGAGGAGCGTAAGCAGGTGTAGTTCCTCCCTCTGCTGCCTTTAGGCTCTTGTCTTCCTTCTGGTTCTCTACTGGGAAGCTGCGGGACTGGCTAGCAAAGGCTCTAGAGCATTTGGGGACTGTGACAGCCTGAGTCCTGGGGATTGAGGGGTCCCCACCACAGGAGACTCCATTGATGTCTTCTCTAAATCCTAACAGCACCTCTTGTTCTCTGGTCTGAGCAAAGTCCAGCCTGCCTAAACTTGCCTCATAACCTACAAAAGCAATAGGGCTTTTGTGAGGATTAAGGGCACTCATGTAGCCCCCTTGCATCCTACAGTATCAAGCAGAGTCAGCACACAATGCATGCTTGAGGTTATTTCTGCCCCATCACAGGCCATCTGGGTTCTTGGTTGGCTCAAGCCAGTAAATCCACAGCACCTGGCCAGCCTGCATCACCAGGTCAACCTGCATCACCTGGTCGTTCTGGATCCCTTGGTAATCCTGGACCACCTGATAGGCCTGTGCCACCTGATTAGCCTTCAGCATGCAGTCAGCCACCTGCAGCATCACCTGGTCAGTTTGTATCACCTGGTCAGCCTGTATCACTTAGTCTGCAGTACGTGGCCAAACTGCTTTACTTGGTCAGTCTGGAGTGCCTGGTCAGCTCCATAGCTCAGCTAACAGTCTATGGGGATAGCTGCTGCCCTTCCCATAAGCCTCTGGAGAGGAGAACACTACCGGTGAAAAGATAGTGGTCTGGTAGGGACCTGAGGGTCCTCAGGCAAGTTCCTGGGGGAGCAGCTGTGTTACTCACTGTGAAGAGAGTACTCAGAGCTTTTTGTAAGAGCAGCAGGGGGCTGCTCAGGGACAGTGCCTCAGGGACAGACCCACCCTGCCAGGAGTCCAGTGAGGTCAGCTCCTTGAGGTTGAAGGTCCTTATTTTTCCCCCAGGGCAGTGGCAGGGTCATTCCAGGCAAACCAACTGGCCATGGTAATGATTTCTGCTCTTGCTGTGGGAAACAGGTCTCCCATTAGCTCTGTCAGTGACTCTGGCTTAGCTTGATGGTTGTAAAGGAAATTGGAGCAGGCCCAGTAAGAAAACCGCAAATTAAGCTCCCAGCAGAAAGTCATTGTGAGGCCAGCTGGGGGGTGGAGAACCACTGGGCCAGAGCTGTTCCTGCCATCAAGTACTTTCATTTATTCTGTAGGCAAATGGTTTACTTCTCCCAGTCATTGTCCAAGTCCTCTGGAACTAGAGTACAAAGTACCCTAAGAAAATCAACCAACCAACCAAACAAACAAACAAATAAAAGCCAACTCCTCTCCTAACACTTGGGGACAATCAAGGGGACACTGATCTGCAAGACACTTGTCCCCAACCCCTGAGCCGGTGGAGGGCAGGGTGGCTGCGCACCTGTTGGTGTGGGAGTTACAGTGCAGGAACCAGCTGCGGTTGTTGTCCACATACATGGCCCAGGCCTTGTCGTCCTTGCCCAGCATCATGTCCTTGACCACGCTGGCCCTGGCCACCCCGAAGGCAGGGTCTGGGTGGTTGTCATACCGGTCCACGTGCAGCTCCCAGTAGTGCACACCTTTGGAGAATGCAGCTGTGCCTAGCACCACGCGGTCATCATAGCTGCTGCAGGTGGCTGTCTGGTTGTCATTAGACAAGATGATGTCCCGGTGGCCAGAGTTGGGGTCAAAAGTGAACCAGGCCACTGGAAAGGATGAAGTCAAAAGGAACAAAGTCAAACAATCTCTCCCTCTTCCATGTGCCTCTCTCTCTCTCTCCCCGTCTTTCCCTCCTTCCCTTATCTCCACCTATACCCCACCCCAAATTTTGCTATATAGTCAAAGTGATTGACAGACTCACTTGCTGTGGCCAGTGGTCTTTGTGGGATGCATATACACTCACACACAATCACAGAGCAAGTCAAGAGGAACAAGCCAGTAAACAGCACTACTCCATGGCTTCTGCTTCAGTTCCTGCTTCCAATTCCTGTCCTGACTTCTCTCAGTGATGGGCTGAGAGTTCTAAGATGAAATGAACCCTTTCCTACACAAGTTGATTTTGGTCAGTCTTTATCACAGCAATAGAAACCTAACTTTCTCTGTCTCTGTCTCTGTCTCTGTCTCTGTCTCTGTCTCTCTGTCTCTGTCTCTGTCTCTGTCTCTGTCTCTGTCTCTGTCTCTGTCTCTGTCTCTGTCTCTGTCTCTCTCTCTCTCTCTCTCTCTCATGCTCCCTGCTCTGTGTGCCTCCAAATTTCCATTCCATGGATCCAGTCTTGCTAAGGAGTACTGACATGCAGGCCATCTGGCCCTACATTCAGATGCATTTCCTGGAACCCTGAGTCCTAGCACCTCCCCAAATGATGCAGGCTCTGTAAGAAGTGACAGAGGAAGTGGTTATCCATGGCCCACCTAGTAGGTAGGAGATTGAAACGCAAAGAGGTGACATAAATGTGGCCAAGGCCACAAATCTCAGGCCTCATTAGGTGGTGGCACTGTCTTCTGCTCACCCCAACCCTCCACCACCCCCAGCATGAAGGAAGTAAAGCACAGCTGAGGATTTCTCACCATCAGAGGTCTGTAGGACCACGGTCTTGCTGTAGGGACCGACACCAGAGGAGTTGAAGGCTTTGACTCTGGCATTGTAGGTGCTGTTAAAGTGAAGTCCGTCAATGGTGCACAGGGTCTCCTTGCCAACATACACTTCCTGCAAGAGTCAAGGGCTTTCATTACACCTCAGCCCTGCCAGAAGTTCCCCGAGGTGCACATCAACACCTACAGAAGTACCACATGAGAGATGGTATTTAATAACCCTACTGGGGCCAGGCTTTGACCCTTCCTCTCAAATTTCTGGCTCCTCTGTCTGCGATGCTGTAAGAGGAATGGGATCCTGTAGAGATGGGGTTTCAGGAGTGAAGCTGGCTAGAATGTTGCCTGAGACCTCTCTGCCTCCACTATCAGCTCTGCCAGAAGCCTGCGAACCCTCCAGCCACTGAGATCAGCATCTTCTGCTCCTGACACCTGTCCCTGCTGGTTTCTGGTTCTTCAAGATGGCAAGTTTTCATGCATTGGAACTTGGTTCTCATTTCCTATGGTTTTTATTTTATTCCCCATTCACTTCCAAGTTTCGTTTGTCCTACTAAAACCCAGTACATATTAACTTGTTTGAAACGAGGCATCTCTCTGTAGCCCAGGCTGACCTCAAAATCTCACTCTGCCTGCCCCAGTCTCTCAGTGCTAGGATTCCAGGCATGAGTCACCACACCTATGTAGCATTCATTTTCTTGTGTCCTCATGAGCCAACTGCTTGCCAGGTTCTGAAGGGCCCAAGAGAACACCTTCCATTGCAGAAACATGCTAACAAGACAGAAGCCCACCCAACCACCCTAGCATCAAAGCCAGAGAGTCAGACTAAAGGCAGTGTGGGAAAGTCCAGCAAAGAATTGTGTGGGAGGCATGGAAAATGTGGGCTAGCCTATGGAAAGTGTATATGTGTAGGCACTGCACTCTCTGAACTGTCAGCTCACAACATCCAGACCTCTCTGACAGACACCTCTCCCTGAGACTGTGGCCACAACTACTACCACAGGAAGTGCTACCTCCCAAGAGCCCAGGCTAGCAGACTCTCTGTCTTGGTGACCAAGGTGCTTGTCTTAGGGTAACAAGAGGGTTAAGAATAGCCTCACAGGCCAGTCCTGTCTGGGCTTGTGCATTAGGGTTCTCAAACAACTGCAGGCTTCACCTGTAATTGCCCTCCAGACAAGTGGGCCTCAGCAGGCCTCTGTTGTGGAATATTATTAAAAATGTGTTATATTCTTTTATGCTGTGGAACATTTGTTTAATGATGCAAAGATGTGTTGCATAAAGCTGCATTTGTTTAACTCTGTGAAACTGTATTTACTTTGCCTCTCTAAAACACCTGATTGGTCTAAGAAAGAGCTGAATGGCCAATAGCTAGGCAGGGGAAAGTGTAGGCAAGGCTAGCAGGCAGAGAGAATAAATAGGAGGAAAAATCTGGGAAGAGAAGATACAAGAGCAAGAAAAGAAGAGGAGGACTTCAGGGGCCAGTCACCCAGCTACATAGCAAGCCATGGAATAAGAAGTAAAGAAAGGTATATAGGATAAAGATGAAAGCCCAGAGGCAAAAGGTAGGTGGACATTTATGAGTAATAGTAAGTCTCTGAGCATTTATTTGGAGCTGGGTGGCAGGCCCCCAAAAGAGCCAAAGAGTAAAAAATAACAACAAGCCTTACTAGAGACTGCCCCCTGAACGGCAGCATCTAGCTCACCCGGAACTGCCCCCCATCACCGTCGTCCAGCTCCAGGATGTAGCCATCAGCAGGGCTGTAGGTGAAGGGTGGTGTCCTCCAGGCCAGGGTGACACTGTTATTGCGGGTGCAGCACTTCTCCAGCTGCAGCAGGGGTACAGGTGGCACTGTGACAGGGATTGTTCTGGTCATCACACAGCATCCTCTTGCAGGCCCCAATCCACCCCACCCCATCCCTTGGAACCCGTGCCCTGAGGAAGGAAGTCCTCTTTCCCATCTTCCCACCAAAATCCCTGGTGCTGGCTTCTGGACCATGAGGCACACCCAAATGACCTCAGCACCATTCATACTGTACATGCTGTAGAGTCACCTATATGGGGACAGATGGCAGGGCAGGAAGCCAAGTGGAAGCTGGCTTACAGCTTACACTTGAGCTGAGAATGGAGGTGCTGTCGCTTGGATCTTAATGCCCCTCAAAGGCCCACGTGTTAAAGGTTGGCTCTCCAGGATGGCACTATTCTGGATGGCAAAGTCTTTAAGAGGTGAGGATGAATGGGCACCTTGGTGGTATGCCCATGAAGGAGATGGTGGGACCCTAGCTCTTTTCTCTTTGTACCTTCTGCTTCCTGGCCACTGGGCGAGGGGCTGGGCTCTAGTATGGCATGCTCATCACAGGTCCAAAGCCACAGGTCAGTCATAGATTAATACTTCCAAAACAGCGAGCCCAGATAAATCTTTCCTCTTTTATCCATTGATCATCTTGGGTGTGACAGAAAGATTACTGACATGGATGAGAGGTATTTGGAATGTCAAAGGAAGCTTTCCAGTCAGGGGACTAGACCATGGCACCAGACAAAACTTCAGAGGGCTAGATAGCCAACCCATGGAGCAAGGGACTGAACTGGGCATGTTCTGAGCTCACTAAAGACAAGCAGAAGAACCTGAATATATTCCAGCTCTGCTCAGGCTCAAGAGCGTTTGGAAAGTGACCTAAGCCACTCTGACCTGGTTTGGAAGGGAAAACGGCAAGACTTGTTCTATAAACCTGCAAGTTTCATTTTGACTCAGCGTGAGCTTTTTGTCTGTCCAGGGTTGACCAGATGGTCCAGGAAGGGGAGTCTGTGTCAACAACAGGCATTTGCCTCAGCCTATCCCTCCCTCCACTCAGCTGAAGGAGACCCTTGCCATCCTCTCATTCCTTTGTCTCCCACATCCTAAAATTCAGCATCTACACTCCCAAGCTTTTTGACCCGGAGCCCCCACTTTCCAGCACTATTTTCCCCAGCCACAGCTGCCCCACCCCCACAGCCCACCCCAAGCCCCCTTGCCACTGTGTCTCATTTCCACCTGGGGCATGTAGAATGTCCAAACCTTACCCAAGTACAATCTGTAAGGGAGTGAGCCTTGGGATGGCCTGAGGTCAGTGATATGGCTCCGTTAAAACCGCACTGCCTGTCTTCCCTTCTGGATGAACCTTAGGCATCTTGGGGAAAGTAGTTGTATATAACAGGAGTCTAGTTCTGGCCTTCTTTCGTAAGTTCTAAGACTAGCCAAGTTGTGCAAGTTTCACTGACTCTTGGCTCTGGGTCCCTGCTGGCTCCCGGAACCAGGCTCATATCATCCTCCACTTTTCCGTTCTGTTCTCCCTCCTGGGATAGAAGCTGGTTCCTGCCTTGGGGCCTTGGCACTCGCCAACCCCTGTGACCTTCAAAGCTCTACCACTATTGCTCCTCATTCCTGCCCTCTTCCCTTCCCCCTTCATCCTTTGTTTCCTTCCTCCTCTTCCTCTTCCTTCCTCCTGTTCTGCCTCCTTCCCTCCCCTCTTTCCCTCTTTTCTCCTATCTCCCTCCTCCTCCTCCACCTCCTCGTCTTCCTCCTCTCCCTCCCTCCTTCCCTCCCTCTCTGTCTCTGTCTCTGTCTCTGTCTCTGTCTGTCTGTCTCTCTCTCTCTCTCTCTCTCTCTCTCTCTGGTTTTATTGAGACAGGTTTTCTCTGTATTGTTTTGGAGGCTGTCCTGGGACTTGCTCTGTAGATCAGGCTGGTCTTGAACTCACAGAGATCCACCTGCCTCTGCCTCCCAAGTGTTGGAATTAAAGGTGTGCACCACCAATGCCTGGCTTCCTCATTCTCTTTTTTCTTCTCTTTTTCTTTCTTTCCTTCCTTCCTGCCTTCCCCCTCCTCTTTACCTTACTCTCCTTCCTCCTGCTCTCTTCCCTACTTCCTCTCCTCCTTTTTCCTTCCTTCTCTCTTCTTCTTCTCACTTCTTCTCTTCTTCCTCCTCCTCATTACCCTTCTCCTCCTTTCTCATTTTCTTCCTCCTCTCCCTCTCCTCCGTTTGTTAGGATTACAGGTGCACCACCATACCTGGCTCCTCCCCCACCTCTTTGTTCCTTCCTCCCACCTCTCCCCCCTTCCTCCTCTTCTCCTTCTCTATCTCATCCTCCTCTCCCCCTTACTTAAGAATATATTCGGACATCTACACCACCCCTCTGCCCTTTCTCCCTAGCTCCTGCTGCTAACATGGATGGGTTCCTGAACTGAGGCTTCAGGAAGTGTAGTCTGGGTGGGAATCTGCAGCCCTGCTCTTTCATATCTGCAACCGGAACGGCAGCCCAGAACATGATGTCACTGCCCCTGTTCATTCTGATTTCTGTCCTTGATCCTTGGTCTAGGAAAAGGAGTTCAGGTTCAGCTGCAGTTGTCCCATCCTGGCTAGAACCCGGGATTCTCACCCTTTCCTCTGCCACCCTGCATAGCCGGCCACTGTCACCATCAAGCTGCCCTCAGCCTGTGTGCCTCTTGGGGAGGCAGCATTACTAAATGGGTCCGACCACGGCTCACCCCTACATTTCATCTGGACGAAATCCAGCTGGTGGATGGCTTGCAGCAGCGGCTCGCTGTCCAGGGTCAGGTCAAACTCTGCAGATACTTTGGGCTCCAGGGCACCTTTGACCCACTGCTCCTGAGACACCTGCACACGTTTGATCAGGGCATCTGAAATCTTAAAGGGGGCACAGAAAGAAGGTTTGGGTTTGCAGAGGAAGATCTGCCAGCCTTTGGGAGGAAGGACTCAGCTGTGTCTATAGCTCATTAAAGGGAAGAGGTGGGCTGACCTGAACATGTGAACCACGGCCAAGCTTAAGTGAACCCAACCACCTAGGGAAGCTGTGCTATCTCAGCTACAGTTCAACCACATAATTGTGTTAATGTAATTTTTATTTTTGTGATCATGTTAGTGTGAGGAATCACCAATGAGCTACAAAAAAAAGTGACACAAACTCTTTTGTGAAGTCACGGTGCTTTTTTTCAGATAGGCAAATACATGCTGGAGCAATGGCCCTGACAAGGCTGCACCATCTCTGGGGGAAAGTAGATTCTGCCCCTCATCTCTCTCTGCACAGTCTGCCCTGCTCATGTGGCAAAGAATGTGTTTTCCCATTACTGGGAGTAATACTGGAGCATGGCATTTAGCCCCTAGAAGTGATGCCTTTTCAACTTCTTGTTTACTGGCTGATACAGCATCAGGGTTCTGCTAGTAAGGGTCAGAGTCATGATGACAGCTCAGGTCTTCTGGCCTCACAGAACAAAAGAGAAGTTATTCAAGTCCCAACCAGGGCAGAAGAGAACCTAGAGGGAGACCTGGTTCAGGAAGAGCAGGGAGCGTTGGTGGAACTGAAGAAAGTTGCCTGTAGTGGTCCTCCAGGGGCTACTCACCTGCAGGAACCCAGAGGGGTCGTCCTCTTTGATCACCTCCAGGCAGTACTCCATCAGGCCCGTAGACTGGCGCAGCTTCAGTGTGCAGTGATTGATCTGGTCCCAGACCATCTGCAATGGAGAGAGAGCTCTGAAGAACCCACTTGTGAGGAAAAATAGTCAGTTACAACAACGGTGTATGAGCAGGTGCCTGGGCAGCTGGGAAGGGCGCTGTTGATCTGTCCCACCTCACAGTCAGCATACTACTCTGCTCCTGAGTTTAGTAGTCATCACCAGGGAATCAATGAACTCACTTCTAGCGCAGCAAAGCTCTCTGAGTTCTGGGCAGTTAGGCACACACAGGCACACAAAGAGAATGATGTACAACTCACCATGTGATGTAGACAGCTTCCTGTCTGGCCAGGGATAGCTTAGTGGGTTTCTCTGTACCCCCTTCCTAGAACACATGCTTCCCTACCAACACTCAACCTTCTCTCTTTAAAGTAGTGTTTTCTGAGGGGTGTGTGACATTCAGGAAGTTTGATAATTTGTGGCCAACAAGGACTAACTACATAGCAAGCTCCTATGTCAGAAAAAAAAAAGATAAACTAAAGTAGTGTTTTCTGAGATGAGTATATAGCTCAGTTCATAGAGTGCTTTGTGTAGCATGCCTGAAGCCCTTGGATTAATCTGCTCAGGAATGATGGTACATGCCTAGAATATCAGAATTTGGGAGGCGGAGGCAGGAGGATCAGAAGTTCAAGGCCATTCTCAGCTACATAGCAAATTGGAGGTCAGTCTAGGCTACCGGTGACCCTCTCTAAAAGAAAAACAAATGTTTGCTAATTCACGTAGATGCCTCTGACATAGAGTTCCTTGGAACCACTTCAGACCGTTCTCAGCCTCTGCCTGAGCCAGGGACATAGTGCTAGATAATCAATGCTGATTATGGATCCATGAGGTATAAGGGTCTGAAGAAGGAGATGGAGCTGGCGACCTGAGCAGAGCCTGACTATTGATAGGAAATGAGCTAAAGGCCTCAGAATTTCATTAAAACAAAACACCATGTCAATAGCAAAGGTTTGAAAAAAGACTTTTCCATCACTTGGCAACAAGCTAAGGAAATTATAAGAAAATGTCCTAATTGTTCTTTGTACAACCAAACTCCACTACCTGCAGGAAGTAACCCAAAGGGTACACAAAGGAATGGAATCTGGCAGATGGATGTGTTCCATTTTGTAGAATTTGGAAAACTAAAATAAGTACACCACACCTTTAATATCTACTCAGATTTTCAATGGACAACTGCTTTGAATTTGGAAAAGGCTGATTCAGTAATTACACATTTGCTAGAAGTTATGGCCATCATGGGTATACCTGCTCAAATAAAGACAGACAATGCTCCAGCATATGTCTCTAAGAAAATGAAACATTATAATTATAAAAATATGATATAAAATATATTACAGGTATACCACACACTCCTACAGGGCAGGTAGTTATAGAAAGATCAAATTGAATTCTTAAGGATATGCTAAATAAACAGAAAGGGATAATAAAGAACCCCACAAACAAATTGCACAGTGCTTTATTAACTTTGAATATTCTGAATGCTAGTGAGAAATGAACAACAGCTGCAGAGAGACATTGGATAATAGAAAAAACTACGGAATTAAACCAATCAGTGTACTTCAAAGATGTCTTGACCTCCGAATGGAAACCAGGACATGTGTTACATTGGAGAAGGGGTTTTGCCTTTGTTTCCACAGGTGAAGAAAAAATATGGATACCATCAAAATTCATGAGATTTTATTTGAACAAGACACCTCTTACTTAGAAGAAATGATTGTTCATTAAACAGCATGGCCATTTAATTTGAACTAACCTATAAAACCAACAAATGTTCTTTTTTTTTTTTTTTTGGTTTTTCGAGACAGGGTTTCTCTGTGGCTTTGGAGGCTGTCCTGGAACTCGCTTGGTAGTCCAGGCTGGTCTCGAACTCACAGAGATCCGCCTGCCTCTGCCTCCCGAGTGCTGGGATTAAAGGCGTGCGCCACCAACGCCCGGCCCAACAAATATTCTTTATTTGATCAGATATAACTTGCCAAGGAGAACTTCCCCAGAATCTAGGGTTAGAGAAGGGTTTTATTTTTTGTCTTTTCAGGAGAATAAAAGGTATCCACCTAAGGAATCTGGTGACCACTGGACAAATGAGACATCTGAAGAAAAAGGACAAATCATCTACAAAAATTATCCCAAGAAAAAGAGTAAATTGGTCTATTGGTATATGACATTTACAACAGGGTAAAATTTCATAAATCTTCCCAAATCTTTGTTTCTTATTTCTATACAGACATATAATACGATTGGTCTTTTTGTAGTCTCAGTATAATTAGAAATCAAAAGCTGGCTTTAGAATTGGAATGTGGCTCTCTCCTTTTCTAAGGCCAAGCATGCTTGTTAAAACAAAATATAAAATCTCTGACTCATGTCAAAAGAACCATCTGATATGGAACAGAAGAAAAACAAATATTTAGGACTATTGTATTGTTACTAATCTCATAATGTTGTCATGATATTAATGGTCATATAGAGTACTACAAATTCTAGAAAAAGGTTTTGTGTCTACATGATTTCTGATTTGAGTCTCTGATCAGTTTTTTACAGTGACCTGTGAAGTCTCCAAAAGGAGGATGAGGCCCTACAATGGCAATTTCACCAGGACTATGACAAAACCATTATGCTGAACAACAACTAAAGATCAGCTTTGGACTACAAACTGCTCATAACAATTTTGGGGTGACTTGCTGAGATGATCCAGTCTCACAGACACTACTCAGAACAACTTCCAGACGGCTAGTTGAGGTGATCCAGCCTCACAGACTACTTTAGCCAGGATTTGAAACAAGCCCTGCAATTGCCCATTACACAGAAACTGGACAACAAATGATAGAGCTTGACAATTCACCCAAATTTTCTTTCAGGATCCCCTAAAGATGTCATTGCCCCCAGACAGAAGGAAGTAACTTTAAGAATATAATGCCCACTTTTCCAAGAGGTGGGGTGGGTGGTTTTTGGTCACTCATTGGGTTATGGATATTTGTCATTGTTTATGGGCATTGGTTACAAAATGTTGTTGCTTACAATCAGGAAGAAAGTTGTATAAAGGGGATTATATTCAGGGTTTTTGTTTTGAAAAAAGAGGAATCCAGATATGATAGGAAAAAAGGGTAGATTATTGTATCTACTCAGAAAAGAATAGAAGGAGGATATAGATATGATAAGGTGAAGTGGTAGATTATTGAATCTACTCTTAAAAAGCAACTACTAGTTTTAAATATTTTACATTGGATTGGACTTCTGTATATTGTATACAAATGTTGTACATTGATAAAATTTTGAGATTAAGTTTGCTAAAACATGCTGTTCACACTTTTCTAATATTGTTCAAGGTATTGCACCCATACAGCTCATTTATGTAATACAAATCTCTAGTCCTTGAAAGTAATTATTATTGACTATATGGAATAATAAGGAAATGTAGGTTTTGTAAAGATTTACTTATTTATCATGTATACATACAGTGTTCTGCATGAATGTATGCTTGCAGGTCAAAAGAGGAAAACAGATCTCATTACAGATGGTTGTGAGCCACCATGTGTATGCTGGGAATTGAATTCAGGACCTCTGGAAGAGCAGCCAGTGCTCTTAACCTCTGATCCATCTCTCTAGCCCAGAAATGTAGTTCAATAATTAGTCAACTGTTAATCAAACTTGTAGTCACATTAGGTATGTTTACAAGGTGAAATAGATATTTTAGAAAGACAGGTCATCTTCAAACACTTCAGAGATCTACAGAATATGGCATTTAACATGCTTTAATAACATAGGGTTTTTTTTATGATAATGAGACACATATGCTCCTGGCATCGCCAATCTATGTTGAAGAAGATGATGGGCATCAATGAGACTCCACATGGGGCTTACTTTATTTGTGGCAAAGGTAAGCCACTGGGCAAGAAAGTGTCCTTGCCTCAACTGCTGACAGTATGCTATCCAAATTGGAAAAGCAGGACATCAAAAAGAGTGACTGCAAACCTTGCCAAGACAAGGTGGTCCAGTCCTTCAGTATATTCTGCTTCACAGAAATGTCTGTCAGAAATGCTAGGCCTATAAGCCCAAGATGGATGTTCCAATGATGCAGAGCAAACTTGGGTAACTGTCAAGGCATCCAGCTGTTTCCGCCATCTCTCACATTTTTTTGGAAGTCGTTAGCTCGCACTTCCTGTTTACTTAGTTAATATTATTTTCTTCTTGAGTCTCTATGGGAGTTGAAGACTGGATAGCATAGTTTTCCTTGTTTACCAGACTCAGTAAAGAAACTCATTAAAGATGTGGTAAGTTAATAGATTTGAAATAAATTAAAAGATAATTTGTTAATGCAAATTATAATAGAAAGTAAATTAGGTATAAGACTTTGAACTCATCAAGAAAGAATAGATACAGAGTATTTTCTCTGAAGATGTCAAACACTAATAGACTAGACATTGCTGATATACTTATTGCCTGTATATATTATATATAGTTATTACACTTATAGTATATAGTTTTTCTTATGTTAATTAATTTTATAAAATAAAGGGGGATATGTGGTGTTATCTTGCTTGTACAAATAAGTCTATCTGAAGGCCAGAGGTCTTCATAACCATAGAGGTCTGGAGACAGACAGGAAGTGAGGTATCTGGGTGGAAACAGGATATGAGCAGGGAGAAACAGGAACTTGCTGTCTTGTCTCGGGAGATGCAAATGAGATAAGGTGTGGTGGTGGCTTGCTCCTTCTCTCTTTCCTCTATATCTGACTCCAGATTTTTATTACTTAGACCAACTAAGAACTACATTTACATTTTTACCCAGAGTCTAAGTTTATTTTTAGTTTATATTTTCTTCATTATTATTATTATTATTATTAATTTATTTTTTACATTCCAATCCCAGTTTCCCCTCCGTCTTCTCCTACTGCTCCTCCCAACCCACCTGCCACCACCTCCCATCTGCTCCTTGGAGAGGGTAAGGCCTCCCCTAGGAAGTCTACTAATCTGTCCCATCATCTAGTTGAGGCAGGACCAAGGCACCTCTCCACTCCCACAGCCCTGTGTCTAGGCTGGGAAAGGTATCTCTCCATATAGAATGGAAGAACTCCATTTACATTTTAAGAACTCCATTTACAGCTGCCCACCCCAGCTAGGCAAGAGGAGAGGAGACTCCAGCAACCCGACAGACATAGGAGTCCAGAGCAAGTGGGAGAGGGGAGACTGATTTGAAGACTGCAGGAAGCTGCAGGCCACCTGACCTTGGAGACTGCTTGAGTACCCCCTGAGTATACCTGGACCTGCCAACTCGGAGCCTCCTAGTCATATCTCACTCACCTAAGACCACCTTGCACTTCAAGCAGTGCCACCCCACGTTGGGTGCAGGCGACATAATAGGGACACTCGGCCCTTACCTTCAGCTTGTGCTCCCTCTCTTTCGTCACCTTGGTGAGCAGCTTGGCTTTCTGTCGAGTCAGTGCATCCCCCAGGGCGTCACACTGTGCCACGAGGCAAGCTTCATAGTCCAACCCATTTTCCTGGGGAAGCAGAAAACTGTGATGAGGAGGTGCTGGCATCTGTGGTCCAGAGGCAACAGCTCCTCCCAGAGCTCTTTGTACTATTTCTCAGTGGGGGGCAGCATGAATCATGAGTGTGCATCAAGGAAGGGTTCCAAGAACCATGACACAGCTACATGATATAACAGTCTACAGTCTGTTGATAGAACAATTTTAATGCCATGGAAAAGTCGTCATGAGAGATGGTTAAAAGGGGAAAAGCCTGGGTAAGGTGGGGCCTGCCTGTCATCCCAGCACCTGAGAGGCAGAGGGAGAAGGATCTTGACCTGAAGGTTAGTCCAGAGACTGGAGAGATGGCTCAGCCGTTAAAGGCTAGGCTCACAACCAAAAATATAAGAAAGGAGAAGGGAGAGGAGGAAGAAAGAAAACAGGACACAAGATTTTCCCATATACATCCACCTATCTATCTATCTACATGAATATATGTGTGTGTATGGTTGTATGTACATGTATGTACAGATGTGTGTATGTGACAAGCATGGCCACAGATGAGGAATTTGGTGAGCTTTTTCTTAGTTCTATCTTCCATAGGCTCTAAAATCTCTGTACTACACACTTTGCAGAAAAAGTAAATCAAACACGAGTGTGAGTCTGTCTGCCTCAGTTTCCGGGTCTCTAGGATCTGGGTAGATTCTGACTTCGGGCTATGAGCTCAATTGTCCCCCTCGATCATATTCTGAATCACAAGCCCCAGGACCTCAGAGTGTGGCTGTGTTTGAAGTCAGAGTTAAAATGAGGCCATCAGGGTGGCCCCAGTCCAATCCAAATGGTGTCCTTATAAGAAGAAGAAATCAGGACACAGACACACAGAAGGACAACCACATAAGGACACGGGGAGGACTGCCATCTGCAAGCCAGGCAGAGAGGCCTCAGGAAAAGCTAGGTGACCTTGCACTGGCAGACTCTGAGCTCAATCCACTTCTGCTGCTGCCTCTGCTCCATCTCTGATCTCTTACGGCGGCAATCAGAGAAAACTGATACATCTTGTGTTCATGAAACATCAGAGCCCTGTGACTTAAGATACCCCATGGGAATTAGGCAAGGTGGGCATCCTATGTTTATCATCTTTTGAAACTAAGGTCAGCTTGAGCTTTGTAATGAGACCTGTATAAAATAATAATAATAATGAATTTTTTAAAGGAGGAGGAAAGTTAGGGGAGAAAGAGGAGGATAAAGAAGAAGAATGGTTCAGAGCCCTTAGTCCTTTTCTCCAGCCAGGCATGAAAATGCTCTGGGCCTTCCTCCATGCAGATAGACCCTCTGCGTGTGCACGTGGACTCTCTGCATGTTCACGTGGGTGAGCTCTCTCTTCCTTGCACATGGCTCACTGAAGTGAGACTCACTGATTTCTATATGTTTCTCAGGCTCAGTATGGGACATAACATAGATACTCAGGTAACACATTTGTTTAGAGAATGAGGAGTTTATATTTTGGTGCACTGATTACACGGTCATGTCTAAGTACAAAAGCTGTTAGCCTGCATGTAAACAGACTGAGGGTGGCACTTTCAGCACCCAGGACTGTACAATCAGACAGTTCAACCCTCTAGAAAAAAAAATCATTGCTGAAAGTCACTTGTCCCCAGACCAGTCCTCCTGTTCTGTTTGGCAAACAGCCCACACCATCGGTCCCGCACCCGAGTCTGCTCACCTGGATCTGCTGCAGTATGTTCTTGAGCTGAACCAGAAACTCCTTCGCCTCTTTGGCTTTATCTGAAACCCCATTTAAGGCCTGAGACAGCTGGGCCTGGAAAAGACATCACGTTATGGAGAAGGTAGTTAGTGTTGAAGGCACGCACCTGCATGCATCATGATAGCCTGTGTTTGTTAGGGAGGCTAAACCGGTCCCACTGGTGAGTTGTCCTCACTTCAAAAGAGCCTACAACTGACTCATGAGCCATACAAACATTCCTGTTTCCCACTTGTTGTTGATGTTGTTTACATGAGGGGCTGAGAGGGAAACTCTGGATCTTGTGCATGCTAAGTAGGCACTCTATCACTGAGCTACATCCCTGAACCAACATATGTCTATTTCCCAGCAGGACTTGTTGAGTTCTAGTTTCATTTCTATTGATGTGATTAAAAAAACAAAACAAGCAAACAAACAAAAACCCCTCAAAACCAAACTAACAAAAAGCAATGTGTGTGGAGGGGAGCATGTATTTGGTTTGCAATTCCAGGTTACGATCCATTATTGTGAGGAGGTCAAGGCAGGTTCATAGAGCCCTACATCCGCTGTTAAGATGTAGAAAATAAATGCATGGATCTTTGCTCGCCTGCTTTCAACTAACTTCTTCCTCTTATGCAGTTCAGGACTCCTTGCCTAGGAAATGGTGCTGCCCACAGTGGACTAAATCTCCCCACATTCATTAGCTTAATTAAGACACCACCACCACCACACACAGAGATATGCCTACAAGCCAACCCAATGTAAGTGATCCTCATTGAGAGACTCTCTTCCCAGGCAACACTATCTGTGTCAGGTTGACACTTGTCCCGCACCTGAGTGTTGACTAGTCCACAGTCTGCCAGCTAACCCCAAAGCTACATTCAAGAATAGTGAGTTAATGGGTTGAAACTAACAGCCTGCCCCTGATGGCTACAGTGCTCTGGACACTTTGTCTGGCCACAGACAGATTTGTCTCTCATCAATAGTAATGTAAACATTTCCCATCCCAGTCAGCTCCACCCTCTACCTACCTACCTACCTACCTACCTACCTACCTACCTACCTACCTACATCTCTACACAGTTGCCTTTTCTGTCATTGAGGACAGGATGAGCCCCCAAGCCAGGCCCAGATCTATGATTTAACCCAAACCATATTTTTCAGAGTAAAAATGTTGAGCATGGAACAAAACTGAACCAGAAAGGCCAGCACCTCTTCTTCTCATATTCTTTTCCTTCCTGTGCCAGCTCAGATGCCACCCTGCTTATTGAGCCCTGGTGAATCAAGCCCATACCTAGCCTTCCTCTGTTCTTTATAACCTTCTATAACTGCCCAACTTAGTAGACTCACCATCCCTGCTTCTCTCCGAGGACAGCAGCCACCTCGGATGGATTATCTAGGATTCATAGCTGAGCTCCTATGCAGTACTGAAGAATGTGTGCTACAGTACCCCTGCAGGAATGAGCCAATGGATGTGATGCTAGACAGTCCCATGGTCTCTGGTGGGGCCCTGAACAGGGAATCAGCATCCAGGAACTTCCTTAGAAATACAGCCTGCTGTTACACCCCAGACATACTAGGGAAGCCCAGGATTCTGGGCCTAACACTCCCCTTAGGAGTTTCTGCTGCACTCTGAGACCTGTCTCAGTAGCCTGTGCAGAGGTTGCCACAAGGAACCTTGTATGCCTCTAAAGACTCAGGGCAATTTGTAGAAAGAGGAAGCACCTAGTTCCAAAAGCACCAAGCATACAAGCCAAGAGAAGGTGTGTGCTGTGACCTCAGAGAATGCTGGAAGCTGCCTTCAAGATAGAAATCAAACCCGGCATGGTAACCTATGACTGTAATCACAAGTTCAAGGCCAGCCTGAACTATATAGTGACACTCTGTCTCAGTAATAACGTAAGTACATTTAAAAAAACCCAAACAAACAAAACAAAGACTAACCAGAGCTCCAATTGCAACAGCTTCGGGAAAACATCCTAAGCTGATCGTCAGCTAAGGAGACGATTCAGTTTTGTACCTGAAACCGGCTACATCTAGCCTGGAAACCATCTCTCTTGTCTTTCTTATGGTCTTCATGAGCAGCTATCTCATGTCCAACAGGCCCTAAGACTAGTCACCCACTAGGCCACCAGATAGGCTTGGTAGGCAGGGCAGCAGCAGGTCATGCTTTGAAGGGGGACAATTCTGAGGTTTGAGTGCAGGTGGTTTTTTTTGAGCGGGGCCAACCATAGGAACCATTGACAGAAGAAAGAGCTGAGTTTGGTCATTTACAACCTATCACTCAGGAAGCTGAGACAGGAGGACAGCTGTGAGTTCAATGGTAGCCTGAGTTACATAATGAGTTCCAGGCAGCCTGGGCTACAGAACGAGACAGTATCAACCAGCCAATCAAGTAAACAAACAGATAGAGACAGCCAGCTTTGCCTCCCTCTGTCTGATACACCGTGTGTTACAAGGGTCTGCAGGCACCAGAAATGTCCTCTTTCTTCCTTGTCTTGTCTGGTCTTGCTGGCTCCAGCCTGGTTGAGGGAGACCCTGTTCTCAGCAGACCTTGCCTTCACTAGATTATCCTCCTGCGCTGACTTTTCCCTAACTAAATTGTTTGGTCTTGAGTGATGGAGACCTTGCTTGCCTCATCTAATAAATATTTGTGGAACAAACGGTTTATTTTTGCTTGGACAACAGGTCAAGGAAGTTTCTAAATTGTACAGAGAATCAGCAGTGAGGAGCTGAGATCTGCTGTGGCTTTGTACCCAGCATGAGAATTAAGATGGCCCAGTTCTGCTTTTGACTCTTTGACACACAAAGACCCTCATTTACCATCAGGCTGCTGAAAACATTACAAGGTAGATATGCCTTGACAAGTGCTGGTATCTTAAACCACTGGTTCTCATCCTTCCAAATGTTGCATCACTTCATGTTGTGGGGACGCCCAATCATAAGATTACTTTCACTGCTGCTTCATAACTGAAATTTTGCTGCTGGTTTGAATCCTAATGTAAATATTATCTGATATGCAGGTTATCTGATATGTGACCCCTGTGAAAGGGTCATTCAGCCCCCAAAGGAGTCTTGACCCACAGGTTGAGAACCACTATTAAAACCACCAGCTTTAATCCTAGAATTAGGGAGGTAGGGGCAGACTGATCTTTGTGAGTTTGGGGCCAGCCTGGTAAACAGAGCTAGTACTAGGACAGACAGGGCTACACAAAGAAACCCTGTCTCAAACAGCAACAACAGAAACCCCAAACCAAAATCCAAACATGATAATCTCCAAAGGTCTTTGCCACATTTTACTGAAGCAGAAGAAACACAATTCAAGCAAACTCCAACTATCTAGAAAAATACCCAGAATGCAGCTGCATGTGGCCATGTTTAAGTTTTTTTGAGGGGGGCAAAAAAATGTGAGTTCAGGTCCTCATGCTTGCACATCGAGTCCTCTCCCCAGTCACAATCCTTGCTCTTTTTGTTGTTCTTTCAGTTATTTGTCACAGTGACAAAAATTCTGACATAGTCACATGGAAGAACCATGTAAAAACTGGAGTTACACTACTACCTTCCATAGAACTACTGGGCCAGATACTTTCCAGATCCTCAGGGCACAGCCCTACTGAAACCTTTGTCTCGGCCTCCAGTCTACCAGTGTGGAGGATGGGTCTATTGTTTTAAGATACCTGGTTTGCACTGATTTTTCTGGTAACTCCAGCCAATGAACCCATTTGGTACAGTCTAGCACCGTCCTTCATGAATATTCATAAGGTGGAATCACACCACTCACGCACTTTCTCCACATAACTCAAATAGACATCCACCTTCCAGAGAAGAGGAGAGGCAGGCCAAGGTCCAGTGCCTTCAGGATGAGTCAGAACCACAGAAAACCAAGTGCTCTCTCTGCGAGTGTGATGGCGCCCTGTCAACTCTTCCCAATTAATCCACACCCAGCCTTTCTTGAGACAGACAGAGGCCAAGAAACTTGAAGACAGTTCCAAATGAACTGTTCAGTCTTGTTTCCATTATGGTTCAGCGGCAGACCCCGAGGTTGGAACAGCTCTCTCTAGGCATTCTCTGAATGTGGCATGGCCTGGAGCCAGCCAGGGGAACAGGACAATGCTTCTAATTCTCTCAAGAGAGCACAGTTATCACAGATGTCCAGTCTAAGCCCCACCACAAGAGGGTGCAGAAGCCAGGCTGTGTTCTTCTGCACCACCTGGACAGGGAGGCAGTCTCCACTACTCTCAGCCTTTTTACTTGTAGTAATAATCATGACAATGACAGTGACAGTGCCTTTCCTTATGTGAAAGTGACATACATTGGGTTAAGTCATTAGAGTGTGTTGTCTCTGGGCTGGGGAGATGGCTCTGGGCAGGGAAGAGGAAAGTTCTTGCTATGCAAGCCTGGGGACCTGAGTTTGGATCCCCAGCATCTATGTAAAAGCCAAGTATCTGTAACCCCAGTTCCGGGGGGTGGGGATGGTGAAAGGCAGACCCCTGAAGCTCATTGGACAGCTAGCCTAGCTCAATCAACGGAGCTGCAAGCTCAGTGATCTCAAAAAACAAAGTGGAGAGCCATTGAGGAAGACACCAGATGTAGACCTCTAGCCTCTGCAACCACGCCAATACAATACAAGCGTAGTCAAATGCACAAGTGTACACACCATCACAGGCATGTACATACACAAGAAAACATGCACACAAGAAAAGTGAATTGTCCTGTTTAATACAAATGGCAAGTGACTGACTTCTACAATCATCATCTCTGTAACCAACTTCCTCTGCCTGCTCGCTCCTCCTTTGTCCATGAGGCATTCCAGTAAGTTGGTTCAGTAAATTTATGGCCACTGTATTCTCTGGGTCAAGAAGAAGCAGGCCACATCTAGGAGAATCACATCAGCATTTCCCAGCTGACTCCTGTCATCTTGTGAGGGCAACTGATTGCTTCTGACACAGAAAAACGAAATCAGAGGCAGGCAGGCAGGGATGGAGGGAGGGAGGGGGAGACAGAGAGGGACAGGGAAGTGGAGAGAGAGAGATGAAGGAGGAGAGGGAACAAAGGAGGGAGAGGGGGAAGGAGAGGAA